ATGAACACTTTAATGTAGTTTACCAATCTTGGCACTATTGACATTTGGAGCTGGATAATTCTGTGGCGAGGGGCTATCTTGTGCATTATAGGATTCTGAACAGCACCCCTGCCCTTTACCCACTCTCAGTAGTACACCCTGCCTTGATATGATTACCAAGAATGTCCTTGAAAGGGCAAAAGCACCCTAATTTGAGATCCATTGCTCTTAGTGGGGGTGGGGGACCATTTTCTACCAAGGACCATTTGGATATTTATAACATTCACAGGTCTCACAAAATTATCAACCTAAAAATTAGCCTGCTATAAATTTATTGAATTTGAAGTCCTACCTGTGGTTATTAGCAGGGCCAGATCAAATTATTTCATGGGCCTTATATACCCCTCAGGCTGGACAATCTCCATCTCTGCTCTCATGGGAGAAAATGATTAAAATTATTAAATGAAACATCTTATATTCTACTGTTATGGTTTTTATTATTTTAAAATAGATTATGCTATGTTTTAAAAGTTTTATTAAATTACAAAACTTATCCTAAAACTAATGCTCTCTAGTAAAAATACATTATGACTGACAAAGTGCTTTTCAGAGATGGGCCTCTTTGGTTCTATTCCTCAGGCTGGTATATAAAAGAGTAACAAGTTGATACGGAAAAGGTGCTGGAAGGAGCCAGTTGACCTTTCAGTTAGCAAAGTGTTTTTATTTTTTTTTTTCTTTTTTGGATGTCTATGATATGCAAGAAACTGTAGGTAAAGTACAGGTAGAGCAGACACTGCCTAAAGGATATTGTAATCTCACAACAAATGGTTTCCAGTGCAGTTTTCATTGTTTGACTTTTGTTTTTAATAAACTGTTGGTATTTACATTTCAGCAGTAGACAGCTTGATAAATATCATGCCATCATAAAATGAGCTATTAAAAAACCAGGACACACAGCACATTTCTCCATAACACTTTCCTTCATTCTAGGAAATTGACTATTATCAATTGCCTAAAAACAAGATTTCTGACTCATGTCAGCAGCATATTCCCCTATGCTTCTTCTTAAACATTGGGAATTAAGCCAGTCCCAAAGGGACAAATATCATATGCTCTCCCTGATTGGCGACAACTAACTGAGCACCAAAGGGGAAACTTGTTGAAGTGAAATGGACACTGTGAGAAACAGTGACTTGATCAGCTCTTGTCCTGACGGTTGATGTACAATGTAATACTTCATCCATTTTAGTATTTTTTTTGTTCTAGTACCATTGGTTGAACTCTGTAATTAACACACAATTATTCTTAGGTGTTTAAATTTTAACTGAAAAGTGATCCCTGTTAGGAATTTGGAAAACATTATGTTGAGTGAAATAAGCCAATCCCAAAGGGACAAATACCACTTGTTCTCCTTGATAGGTGACAACTAACTGAGCACCAAAAAGGAAACCTGTTAAAGTGAAATGAACACTATGAGAAACAGTGACTTGATCAGCCCTCACCCTGACTGTTGATGAGCAGCTTAATATGTTATCCCTCTTAGTATTTTTTTTTGGTTTGTTCTACTTAATACTTTTGGTTGAATACTGTAATCAATACACAGTTATTCTTAAGTGTTGAAACTTAACTGAAAAGTGATTGCTGTTAAATATAAGAGTGGGAATAAGAGAGGGAAGAGATGTGCAATTCGGGACATGCTCAAGCTGACTTACCTCAAATAGTAGAGTTAGAAACATACCAGGGGATTCGAATTCAATCCCATCGAGGTGGCATGTACCAATGCCATCTCACTAGTCCCAGTGATCAATTTCTGTTCACAATTGATCATAATGATAGGACTAAGAACCAAAGGGATCACATAAACAAGAATAGTGTCTGCAAATACTAGCTGATAGAATAAAAAAGGGAGAATGATCCAACATGGGAAGTGAGATACACAGCAGACCCATAGAATGGCAGATGTCCTAACAGCACTCTGGCCTCAGAATCAGCCCTTAAGGCATGTGGATCCAGCTGAAATGCCCATGAGAGTATTTCAGGCATGGAAAGCCAAGACACTCAGGCAAAAAAAAACTAAATGAAAGATCTCCACGAGTGAGATCCCAGTGGAAAGAATGGGTCATCAAAGAAGGAGGTACCTTTCTCTGAAGGGAGGAGAGAACTTCCACTTTGACCATGGCCTTGTCTAAATATGATCAGAGTCGGTGAACTCAGGGGGCTTCCATAGCCTTGGCAGCTCATGACAAGAGCCTTGGGTGATTACTGAGGCCATAAACAAGAGTGTCAATTTGTTAAGTCAACAACAGGAGTCACTGTGCACTTACTCCTCATGTAGGATCTTTGTCCTTAGTGTGCTGTACATTGAGATTTAATGCTATAACTAGTACTCAAACAGTATTTTTCACTTTATGTTTCTGTGTGGGAGCAAACTGTTGAAATCTTTACTTAATGTATGCTAAACTGATCTTCTGTATATAAAGAGAATCAAAAATGAATCTTGATATGAATGGAAGGGGAGAGGGAGTGGATAAGGGGAGGGTTGCGGGTTGGAGGGACATTATGGGGGGGAAGCCATTGTAATCAATATTCTGTACTTTGGAAATTTATATTCATTAAATAAAAGTTAAAAAAAAATTGGGTAACAAAAATACTGAAATTGCTACAAAAAACTGAATACAAATTGAACTTAGATATAAATAAACTTATATAAAAATATTTTCCCATACTGCATTAGTAATATTCCTATTGTTTTTAAATATCAGGAATGAATAAATAAGGGCTTTAGTTTATATACCTGTAAGAAAAACTGATTTTATAAAACAAAGATTCCTATTTATAAAATGTCTAAAGAGGTGGCTCTTTGTCACTGAACTGTAAAGAGGTTCTCATCACCCTGTTGCACTGTCATTCCTTCTTTCTCTGGAATGCATATGCTTTTATTAATACTAAACAGTTGCTCAGCATCTATTTAAATATATATTCAGCAACAAATGTAAAAAGTCATAGGGTAACAGCAAGAACTAATAATTAAACATAAGGAAATTCTTGACTAAATATGAAATAAAGAGTTTGTTTTGTTTCAGCTTTGAGTTTAAATAATCAACTCCCTTCTCTTTTCAACCACATCGATCCACTTTAATCACAGATTTTCATTTACAGGACTTTTTGTTGTTGAAAACAAATGTACTCTAAAATTCTAGGGGCTGGCATTGTGGCATAGTGGGCAAAGCAGCCACTTGCAGTGTCAGCATCCCATGTGGGTGCAGGTTGAGTCCTGGCTGCTCCACTTCCGATCCAGCTCTCTGCTATGGTCTGGGAAAGCAGTAGAAGATGGCCCAAACTTCTTGGGCCCCTGCAATTGCATGGGAGACCCAGAGGAAGCTCCTGGTTCCTGGCTTCGGATCAGTGCAGCTCCAGCCATTGCAGCCATTTGGGGATGAACAATTGAATGGAAAACCTCTCTTTCTCTACTTCTCTTTCAAATAAAAATAAATCTTTTGAAAAAATTTCTAGAAGCCACCACTTTTAAAATAGTGATTTATATATTACATTTGATTATATGCAACAAATCACTATTTTGAGATGGTGGCAAAGCAGACAGTAAAATGTCAATTCTTATTGATGGAACTGAATACTTACTAGGAGTTCAAGCAAATCACTTAATTCCAGGTCTTATACATAGAGTTAAGTACAAGCACCTGCCCTTTCTTACCTGAAACAGTTGTCCTGAGGATCACATTAAGAAAATGTAGCTGTCGGGGAAAAATCATTCCTACAAATGCCACAGCACAATTGCTGTCATAATAGGCATGTTACAGTCACATTCTTTCAGTTGAATCACTCACCTTCTGTACTATTTGTGCCTTACAGAAAGCTGAAGGTTCTGTGCCCCCAGCTTTCAAAATGTGAATACATTTGGTTGTTGGTAAAATGGAACTATACTGGACACAATGAAGATAAAAATGATAGAGTGAAAACTTAGGAAGTAGCTACTTCAATGCCAATAGGAGCATGACTTCCACCTGACCCAACAAGAAGGTAAATAAAACATCCCAATCAAAATTTCTTGGTCTTAACACTGATTTATTCTCATTTTGATTTCTTTACACTTCTTATTCTGTTGCACTTCAATGACTTGTGCTTCTGGACCTAATCTTTTGTACCTTCTCTTGAACCCTTCCCCAGGCAACAGGGAAAGCGACTGATGGTCAGAAACTTAATTAACTGAATATTGCAGAAATAGATGTCAAAGAAGCCCAATTTTTAATCTTTCAGTTGCTGCTTTTCAACTGTGTAATAAAAGATTTTGGCACCCTTTAAAAGGAAAGCCATGCAACAATAAGAGATTGCTCTTCTTTCTTTTGCAGGGACAGGGTACTGGTAGTTACTGAAATGTCTTAAAACACTCAAAAGGTAAAAGGAACCTTAGCATAAACTGAATGTTCCTCAGAGAGTTAGAATTTGCCCTTTTCATCTTTAAATTTCTAGCCCCTAGTATAGTCCCAATTCATAACCCATAGTTGGTATTTGACATCTATTGACTTAAATCACCCTGACTTGGATCTCAAGCTGACTGGATGAAAGGGTCTGTGTGCATCTTCATAATCTGAGATCTATCCTTACCACAAGTTTCCTTGCACATCACCCTCAGGCCACAACTGACCCCTTTTTCAAGTCCTATCTTCAACTCCCTGGGTTCCAAGACTCCTGAATGCAGTATATGTTCTTAGATTGAGGACCACACTTTAGATGTTATGTCTTCCTGCTGATGGCCTGGGATGTGTCATTTCTCTATTATTATCCGTGATGCCTGACAACTAAGAGAAGAAACAAAGTCCATTTCACCAATAATTTCTTCCCATTCAGACCTGTAAAACTTTCTGCCACACATGTTTGGAAATAGTTTTTTTGATTAACATTTAGAATTGTTTTCTCTTTAATTTAAAAGAGAATTTTATAAGTATCCAAAAAAATCAGTAATTTTCTCACCCATTTAGTAAAAACACTTCACCATTCACCAGTTAATCTTTATTTTTTTTATTGCACACATCAATATTTTACAGAAAAAAAGACAGAGACCTTTAATGTTACATTGCAATTACCTGTTTTGTGATTCAACAGGGAGACCTAAGTTTTCACACAAATATAATCAGTAAACATAATTTATGTTCTGATGAACATTTTGAGTCTTGTTTAAACATTTCTTTGCATATACTACATATTACCAGTTAATTTTAAAGGCTATGTAACAGTTTATGATGCCAAGAGTAATACATCAAAATTATTTATCCATTTTTCAGTTGATGGATTTAAAAGAAAAAAATGCTTGTATGGAAAGCTAAAGCATTTATGTACATTTTGCTTTTAAATATTCTTCTAGGCATATGTTACTCAAAGTGAATCAGTATGTCAGATGGTGGATCAGGAGCTGGAACTTGGCCTTGTGGTTAAGATGCCCACATTCCTTATCACAGTGCCTGAGTTCAATTCCAGGTCTGGTTCCCTACTCGTTTCCTACTAAATGAACCTTGGGAGAATTACTGAGAGGCGGCAGTGATGGCTCAAGTAGTTGGGTTCCTGCCACCCAGACAGAAGACTTGGTTGAGTTCCCAGCTCCTATCTTCCACCTTAGCCAGTTATAGGCATCTGGTGTGTGAGTGGGGGTGGGGGGTTAGAACCAGCAGATGGGAGCTCTATTTGCCTCTCATGTTAAAAAAAAAGTTACAGAGCTCTTGTTATAGGCTTCTACATATTTATTTAAGTAGTTCTTTATAAGGGCACATGCAAGATTTGTTTTTGGCTAATCTAATGGCATGAATTAGTTGATCTACCTTGTCAATAGCTGTTTTTCATTGCCATAAGGTTTCTTTGTGCCACTACTGGGATGAAAATTGTTGTCTTTTTATTTTTACCTTTCTGTTTAACATTTTAATTCATCTGGAATAAACTTCATTATCATACATGAAGTGGATCATTTAATAGCTTTCTCCATAATGACATTCAGCTAATCTTTTCACCAACAATTTTAGGTATTTATTTCTAACTGGCTTATTAGTCTTAAACTTTCTACTCAGTACTACAGGATACTTAGCAAGGCTGCTTAATAACATGCTTATGCTCCCATTTTTCCCAGTTTTTTTTTTTTTTAAACAAACTTTGCTCACACTTCCCAACATACCAGTACAATTTTCTTTAAAAGGCTCACATATTTTAATACCCAAGCACTTTTTAAATTGCCATCACTACTGGAATCTAGAAACAATATTAATTTAAAAAAACTGTATCTCCTGCAACTTCTTGAATTGGTCTTTTATTGATAGTATATTTATAAGATACTATAGGTTTAGCTAACTATAAAGCCATGTTAACAGAAAATAATATTTATGCTTTATCTTTGTTTTATATATTTTATTGCAGTGACAGGCTTAATATATAAATAATAATAATAATATATAAATAAAAATGATGCCACCATTAATTTCTATTTGAGAAATGTTTCTTATATATTTTTTCCCAATATATATAATTTTAGTTAAGTAATTATCACATTGTGAGAAACCTAAAAAATCAATGATAGTGAAAAACTTTTCAGTAGATCTGGATTATTTTCACCTCCATTTTAATATCTTAAATCTCTTTTTATTTTAATACTATTTTGTAAGTCAATTCAGGCATCTCACTTGTTTTGATAGGTTTAAACTTTAGGATCCACTCAATCATACCTCTTTACTATATTCAAGAAAACCAGTATTGATACCAATCAATGACTTTTCTACTTAACAATAAGCTGTCCAGTATTTAAGTCTGTCTTATTTCCCTCATATTAGAAGAGCAACAAAAGACTATTCAGAGTATATTTTGGCCAATTAATAGTTGTTTTATATAACAATCTTCAGACCAACAGACATGTTACTGAAGAGCATTATTCTGTTAAAACTTAGCCAAATTCTGCTTTCTTAGATTCGTAGCTTTAACATATATTTACTTATAATTAATCTTAATCTTCATATTTCTCTTATTCAATAGTCAACTGCAAGACTGGCATCTGTCCACTTTTCCCCCCAGCAATATTAGATTCCGGTTTTCATGGGCACCTTTTCCTTCTAATACAGTATGTATACTATTGTAATCATAAACAACAGAAAAAAGGACTTTGTAATCCTGTTGGGCTCCAGTGATGGCTCTTGTACACAGTGCACTGAGAAAATTATAAATAATTGTTTCCATCATCTCTTTTTTAAAGTGTATGGCTTAATATCTGCTTCACACTGTTATTGAGAAGCTGTAGTGAGAAAGCACGATATTAAATGCCTGGCACACAGTGAATGCTCTGTTCGAGAAAGGGCTTGCTTCCTATAGGACCACCATTCTCTGCCTGAAGAACAGACATGAGACTAAATGAGGAACCTCTCCTGATAGCTCCAGTGGAGTATAGCCAGTTTTGTGCCTTCTAGTGGTTCTGCGAAGAGTTTTTGTTCTCCAGAACACAGCCAAGAGGCAGACGTGATTATGAAGACTGTTCACCTATTTGTGGGGTGGGATATAAGCAAACAGCACAGTAAATCCTCCTCTGACTTATTCCTATTAATTGCAGTCAATGCTGCTAATTAAGGTGGTAGAACCAACAAGGAATAGGTTACACCCTGAGAAAACTGCAGGTAAACTACTTACAGAGGGTTTTTAAAACTGGCTGTAATCTCAAATTTTTAAGTGACTCATCCTGTTTCTCCATAGGACTTCCTTTTCAGGAATTTCAAACAGCCATTCCTAACCATCTTTTCCTGAGGTGATTTATTTTTCCTTTGGGCCTGAGTTATTTGTTGGAAGTCCTTTTCTTTCATGTGCTAGAGCAGGACTCTGCAGGAATTTTCTGAGCTCTTCAGTTAAGTGAACTCAGATTATTTTCACAAAGTAGAAAGCAATGCTGGATGGCTTCACTGCCCCATCAGTTATAAGGATCAAGTAGGTGCAAAAAATGGCAAAATGTAAAATTCTTCACAAAGAATAAAGAATCACGCACAGCTAATCCTTTAACAAATATAAACAAATGTCTTTTATCATATTGGCACTTATAGTGATATTCCTACTATGAACTCTGCGTTTTTATATTATATACAAAGACCCACATAATTTACTATTTGTGTATTTCACTGTTCAAACAGATGTGATAGCAACATAACAGCTGCCAAAGTAACTAAAATATTCCTAAGGTCCTATTTATTGTCCTGTAGAAAATGACAGTCTGAAGATCAATAGTATACACAATATAATCTTTGAGTTGCTAACATGGAACTCAATACATACAATATTAAAACAAAGGTATCCCTGCTTTAAGATTCTGATCACAGAGCAGATTCTGAAACAAAGACTCCAACAACTGACAAGTCAATTAGTGACAGGTTAATAAAAAACACCTAAGGCTGAATACCCTAAGCAGAGTCAAAGACAAAATCTGCAGAGCATTCACCATATAACCACTTCCAATTATTCATATGGAAACATGGCCTTTAAATGAGAGTATTCTGATGCGAGGATGAAGAGGAAGAGGATTTCCACTTTTTTTTTCTTCTAATTTTGAAGCTGCTTCTCTGGACTTTCTAAGTTTTTGCTGTCCTCAGAGGATTCTTGTTTGGCCATTGTTGTATCACTGGTTCCAGAAGCCTCCAGTAGCCTGTCATTACCATCATAGATAATGTCTTCTGGATTTGGAGGTGGAGGGCAGAATTCTTCACCTGGAAAGATCTCCTGAAAAAGTGTTTCGGCTTGCTTGACTGCATGCTCATTTCCCAGGCCACAGTCAGGCCCAGAGCAGACATAAACATTGGAAGGTAAGCCATCATAGGAGCCTCTGCTGACTACTGAGGAATCTCTCATGTTAAAATAAAGAGCCCATAAGAGTCTTGGTTTTGTAGGCCCTTCCTGTTCCATTTCTGTTTCAGCATAAGGAGTGAATAATTTCTGCGTCACTGGTTCTAGGTCTTCTCGTGCCGTTTTTGAAGATGGACACGTTAGATGTACCAGATATGTGTCTTTCATGCATGTCATAGTTGAAGAACATAATTCTGTGACCCGGACAGAACAAGTCTGTGCTTCCACTGGAGGCACTATCAAAATGGAAATCTGCTGATCTGAATTTGTCTTTAGTAGAGACTGATCTGTGATGAGCACTGCCCTTGAGATTTGCTTATACTGCACATTTGAGCATGTTTCCTCAGAAAGGTAACTATCCTCCATGATAAAATACTTAGCATTTATTCTTTGACCAAAGTGATCTATAATGGCTTTACATCTTCCAGATTCTTTGTCAACTACAAGACACTGTACTTTATGACGAAGACAGTAGATTCCACCAAAAACTGCACACATTCTGCAGAAACACTGGGGGATTTCACCTTGACCATACACAGGAAATAAAAAGGGAGTGTTGCCGAACCGTCCAAGACACTGAAGAAAAATTTTTGTTGCTTTAAGACCATCTAATGTAGTACATGAGGTTTCTGATGTCATTGCAATTGAATGTAGCACAAAATGTTGGAGGTTGGGGGTTAGTTTTTTAGCTTTCAAGTACTCTGAAAATGAACATTGTTTGAAATCTTGGTATTCATCAGGATGCTGCTCATAGTCTAGACAGAATGTAAGAAATTTCATTAGCATCCTCTTTTCAACCATGGTGAGTTCTTTGCTATTAAAGACATCTGCTCTAGAACAAGGAACCTGTTCCACCTTCCCTTCCCGATATGCAAGAATCCTGGTGACATTTTTAAATTCAGCATAACGACTAACATTGGATTTGATTAAAAGATCAATTAAGGATCCTTGAGAATATAGCAGCTTTGACACCAAATCAATATTAAATCTCCTCTCTTCTTTAATTATTTGAGAATAAGTAGTCCTATTTCTCTTTTGTTGGTCAGTATTGTCTTCTTTAGGGTTGTTTTCATCTTCATCTCCATCTGAAACAGTGTGTGCAGAAGTTTTGTCTCCACAATACTTTTCTTTCTCCAGTGATTCTTCTATATCAGTTACTTCAAGTGAAATCTCTGTTTCATTTTTTTGAGTGTGTTTTGCAGACATTTCATAGTGAGCAAAGTCTGATGAGTGCCTTTCTTTGGGGAAGGCTGCAGAATTCAGAGGTTCTGTGAGGGTACTAGATGCCGCTGAGGAAGGATTTTTTGGCACAGCACCAATGTCTTCAACACTGTCCTCCATATCTTGACTGGCGTAACAAAAAACTTCTGTATGTTGGATGCTTTTATCCTTCTTGCAAAGAGGGATGGCTTCTTCTGTTTCATGGATTGAGTCTTGCCATGTAGCAATACTTTCTTCCCCAATGTCACTGTTTTGTTGATACTCATTCAGCCAGGATAGTAATCCAGAAAAGCTGAAACTAGCCCAGTTTCCTCCATAATAACTTCTTGAATCAAGATGCAGAACCCTCTGACCACTTCTTGCACATGCAGCTGCAAGGATAGACTCTGGCAAACCTGTCCCTATTACAACCACATCAAACTCTGTGGGGAGACTGTGCGCCATCCTAGGAGGAAACGTCTGCTGACAACTGCTGATGGAGGAAATGCATATGAATATAGGCTGAGGGCTCAGCTGAGATGTGATCGTGCTGAAATAAAATCTCTGCTTGTGATGTTCCAGCTTATCTCAGAAGCACTGAAGCTGCAGGTCCTAGCTGTTTAACGGTTACCCTTTTAAAGTATTTTTTTATAAGTCAGCAGCATAAAAACATGATAAAGTACATTTATTCACATCTGAGAATACTAAAACGGATGTGTAGTTTTCATTTCTGCATTTCACCTTAGCAGTAAATGTCAAAATGCATCACATATGCATTTGTGACTGGAACTCTTCTCTGAAAGAAGAAAATTCAAGAAAAAAAAAGAATACAATTGAAAACAATATAAAAGTAATTTCATGCAACAGCAATTACAAGCCATTGGAGCCTGACTTCTTATTTGGATATAAACTTCTACTAAAGCAAGTCATTAAATTCTTTCTCATTTTTTTTTAGTCCCTTGAAAATGAATAATGGAGATATAACCCCCCCAAATCAGGCAATATAATATAAAGAATGGTCATAATGTTTCACAATAAAGAATAATTAACATAATACAATTTCACAGCTTTTAGAAAATATTTGAATAAAACTATATACAGCTGTAAGTTCAGACTAAAAGAAATGTGTGCCTCCTCTGTATTTATGGGAACAGACAATATACTATGCACAACATCATGATTAGGAATATTTCTATGACCAGGATAGTTTGTGAATGATTCCAGAACAGCCAAATAGAAGACCTTTCCATACCCCACTACCCTTAGGATCTCATGGTAGCAGTTAACAAGTCAGATTATTACAAAAAGGATTATTGATTCAGTTAAAAGACTAGCATTTGAAAACATTCAGGTGTGTACAAGAAAAGGCATACTGATGGGGAAAATATCTAAAAAATGTGAATCTCCATATGCATATGTGTGTTTTGTAAGTGTAAAGTATAAAGGAAAATTGGTTACTGGCTTAGTATATCAAGCATCTTAACATAAGTAAGACTTCTAACATTTGAACAGGGTGTGTGTTTTGCATTTTGCCAGACTGCCTCCACAATCCCTAAATCTCTGTAACCCAACAAAAAGGTCTTGAGTATCTCCTGCCAAGATGACCCATGTTGTTTGCTATACTTACTATTCAAAGGGTAGTGAACAAAGGCATAATGTTGGCTAAATGCCACATGCAGAAAAAAAGGTGTATGTGATTCCAGGGTGTAGCCAGAGGGAGAATAATGAAGAAACTGAAGGGCATACCCACCTGGAAGTCTTTAACATAAAGCACTACACACACCACATTGCTAACCTTTCTATCGTTCATCAATGCAGAGTATTAGTGAGGGTTCTCTGACCTCTGATTTTTGCTGTTACCAAATCTACTGAAATCTAGATCAATATAAGCTGCATCTTGCTGATGCTAAGATGACTAATTACTCTGAATACTGATAAAATAAGTCATTCAATGGGAACTTACATTAAGTTGACTAGGTCACTAACCTCACTGGTCAGTTTAAATGAAAACGATAATCCTCATAGTCCTGTCTAGTGAGGACCTCTGACTAAAAGATAATTTTCAGCGTTCCCTGAGAAGCCACGATCTGAGCACAAAATAAGCCAGTTGCCTGGTCTGCTCATGTAAATACGTTAGTGTGTCTGAATTACTTCTTCGGCCTTCCTCAGCAGGGTGTGAAGATGGAGATAGAATCTATGATGTTACCTGAAGAAGTGTGACCATCTTCTTGGCTTAGAAAACACAGAGCTGAGGGTGGGATAAAGCAGGGAAAATACAGGTCACAACCACTAACATTAGGTACTTTCTAGCCTACAGATATCAAAAGTCTTATCAAAATACAAAGGAAGTGGATGGCCTTAAAGAACAGGGAGCTCAAGTACCCCATAACAGAGAAAACCAATGCTGTAGAGATTAACTCATTCTTATGTCACGAAGCCTATGATCTTCCCATTAAAGAGGGCAGCCTCTCCAAAAGACTCTGCAGCATTTTTTTTATTTCTGCCACACCTGCAGTACTCCACAACTAGTTGCTTGCTTGGTTGGTTCTTGCTCAGAGATAACTGGGGAAGTGAAGCACCTTTCGTTTCTTCATCCTTAACCCTAACCTAGAAGCACAATCCTTGGAATTTACTCCAGGCAAAGAAATTTTTTATCTTTGCTAAGAACATGTTGAGCTCCACAAAAACCTCATTACTGACCTGTCTTAAATAAGACTCTGATCCTCTTAGCCAGGATTTTTAACCTCTAATTTAAAAACAGAGGACAAAGTGAAAGCACTAGCTAAATGTCCCCAAGAAACAGAGCAGCCTTTAGGTGAAATTCCATGTGCTAGCTTCTAGCAGTCTTAGAAAATAATTTCTGATTGGGATAGGGCCCCAGCAAGGATGGCAAGGGAGAAGAGACAGGAGGGTGAGATCTGCAGAGGAAAGGGATGAAGAGGGTGGGTGGCAATGCTTATTGAAAACTCAATACAGTCTTGTTTTCAAACTCCTGGGCACAGATATACAATTTCCCACCACAGAAAAGGTGCTTCACAAAACAAGAACTTTCATGTCTATGAAAAAAACAACTGTTATCCTCCAAAAGGAGCATCCCCCATACTTTAGACACAGACTTAAAACATGTTCCTTAAAGCTTGGCCCTGCCTAAAAAGTTGCCTGGTATTTTTTAATGAAAATAAAAAATATAATCACACAGCCATCTACATTACTGCCTACATACAGTGAGAGCTGTCTCCCCATGTTTCAAATCTTTGTACAAATGAAATACTCAGATTCATGCTCATTGGAGCGGAAAAGAAAATACTGGAAGAAATGTAATCATAGATAGTATCTGAGATTTCCTTCAAAAAGCAAAATTAAATCATTATGAATATTTGAGTCTCACAGGCTAGGAGGCCAATGAGTAAGAAACTATTTTTGATAATGCTACCAAGACTTTGTGCTCCAAAACCTGCCAAGACAAAAGTCATAAATTACCAATGGATTTCACGATCAAAATCCGAAATACTAATAACTGAGAAATATTCTTTCAAATCTTTGTACAAATGAAACACCTGGAGCACACCACAAAAATAATTTCTTTCCCAAGCTTACAAAATCACATCTTCAGTGTTCTGCGGGGCTGGTCCTCCTTCAAACCCCAAGTCTGAGAGACACGCAAATCTTCCGTAAATGAATAAATTGTAACAAGAAATCTTCAATGAACAATCAAGTTCTACTGCAATGAAATCTCTTGGCTGCACAGCGAAGTCTGTGTGCCCCGGAGCTGGGATTCTTTGGGCCATTCATTTGTAATCTCACCTTAGTTTTGTGTCCCATAAGGAGGAACAAGCAGTTCAGGGCAACTCAGAGGGCACATGTCCATTTGCATTCTGAATGAAAACCTCACTCCCTAGGAAGCATTCAAAGGTTTGCAACTGCTAATAAGCCAAAAGCAAACCATTCACACAGCGCTGCTACTTCAGTGTTCTGCCTCTCTTTGCGGGAAAACAAATAAAATTATGAATTAAAGCTCTTCTCGTCTCCTCTCCAACTTTCATGAGTTAATCACTTTTTCTTCACTCTCTCAACTCCACAGGCCCTCGTTCTCTGCCCTCAGTGTACACCCTGTTGAATTCCATCAGGAGATGGAAACAGAAATAGCGGGGAGAGGGGCTTGCCCGCGGCCGAAGGCTTACTTACCCAGGGGCTGCAGCCGAAAGCGGGGCTGGGGTCCCGGTCAGCGTGGGGAGTGGGGGTGGAGGGGGTAGGCCGGACAGCCGAGGCCACAGGGAGCGAGTGGAGGGAAGAGACCAGGAGAGGGGAGGCAAGCCGTGCAGCAGGCGGGCCCTGAGGCCGAGCGGAACCCGGCGGCGGGGCAAGGCGAGGAGCGGGAAGCAGCGACTCACGACTCACCGAAGAGGCTGCTGCTAAACCCGTCCCACACGCAGCCCACGGTGTCCCACACCCAGCCGTTCCTCAGGCAGGACACGAAGGTAAAGGTGACTCCGAAGACGGACACCAGCAGGTCGCTGAGGCTGATGTTGACCAGGAAGAGATGCGTGGGAGTGCGCAGCCGCTGGAACTTGTAGTAGAGGACCAGCACCAGCAGGTTGTTGCCGACGCCCAGCAGCCCGATGGAGCCGAGCAGCAGCGCCAAGCGCTCGTAGGTGCTCGGACTGAAGAGTGGCGCGGGGCTCAGCGTACCCGCCGGCCCCGGCCCCTCAGCGCCCGCGGCCCCGCCGCCCTCCCAGTAGCCCTGTTCGCCGCTGCGGTTCCCCGAGTACATGGCCCGGGGCCGGCTCGCTCGGCGGGCGGGCGGGCGGAGGCGCTGGAGCGGGCGGCGCGCTCCGCACTGGGTGGGGCTTCAGCCCAGCCGCTCGCTGTGGCTACCGCACTGGAAGCGGCGTCCGCGCCGCGCGCCGGCACCGCCCTCCCCCCGCCCCTTCCGCTCAGCTCAGCCCGTAGCCACGCCCCCAGGCGCGCGCGCGCTCGCAGCGCTGTCCCGCTCCGCGCGTCCCCTCCTCCCTGCGCTACCGTGCGTTGGCGCGCGTGGACTGGCGAAGGGGCGAACCCGGAAGACAGGACCGCAGGGAGAAGACACCCTCAGGGGCGCGTCACCCCGTTCCCCTCAGCTCGAAAGCGTCGTGTCCTTTCACCCGTTCAGAGTATTCATGAGCGCCTGGGTCAACCCTGAGCTTGGGAGAGGGTCGGAGGAGGCTCTGCCGCCCTAGGTTTCTTTCTCAGGGGGCTGCACTAACCCACCACTGGTGTGCAAGGCCCACCCCGCCTCACACACTTATGTGGAAACAAAAGAAAACACGACAGTGAAAAGCGTGGGATACAGCACCCGCCAAATGGCCTGACAAACAGGACAACTGAGGAAGAAAACTGGGAGAGTGATTAGAGGGGAAAATGACCCACCTCCCCGACAGCTGCAGGATGCGAACTGTTCAAGAAATTATAAGAGAATGTGTCGCAGTGGCTAGGCGAAGGAAGCCTGGCACCTCTGAAAGTTTCAGGATAAGCAAGGAACTGGCATTAGAGTGGAATGGAGGTTGAGCCCCTGCCTGGACACCAAGACCGGCAGATTCCTCTTTTCTGCTCTGGTCTGAGTGGCGGTAGATCTGTCCTGTTCTCATGGCCTGTGGAAGCCCTTCACTGGCAGTGACTACCGGGGCTGTGCGTCAACCTGAATCTAGCAGGTATGAAATCGGTCAAGACCCCCTAAAATTTATACAAAAATGTGGTCCCTTAGAGTTCCCCAGAAGCACCATCTGAGATGCCACAATGCTACCGGAATTTGGGGTGCCACATAATTTCACCATATGCTTATTAATAAAGCCCCACTATTAATAAGCCAGAGAGGGTTCTTGCCTAATATTTAGAGAATTCTAAATACTGGCACAGATAAACGAGGCAGCATGGTACATTTTTAAGCCTTTATTTAGTGACAAAGATGCATAGGAGAGTGAGAGCTTTATTGAGAGAGGTAAATCTGGGTTCATACCGAGCACCAGGAACCAGCCACGTGGAAAAGCATCTAGGCCAGGAAGCCTGGAGGCGCAGGGCTACAGCAAGCCCCATCCTGGCAAGAGGCCAGGGAAGAAGAGAAGGGCAGGACACACCGTGTCCCAGGCTTTTAATCCACTTTCAAAGGGGAGTGATTAATTAACTGATTGGCTGGTGGGCACCCTGGTGTGGCCAGGTAGCGGCATGAAATCACACAGGGGCATTGTGAAGGTATCAGGTAGGGCATGAGGTCACACAGGGGCGTGGCAAAGGTGTGGTCTTCCAGCTCACAAACCTAATCGATTTTAACCTATATACCTGCCTACTTCAGGTATAGGGCAGTAGGTGCTATATTTAGAACACACATTTTCCGCTAGGCCTTTGCCCCAGTAGCGATGAAAATATAGTACAAGTCAAATATAGATTGTGAACGTGATCACATTCTGCAAGGGCTGCTTTTGTCTTTGTCACTGCATGGTCCATACCAAGGCCTCACAGAAGGATAGCAATCCTGAGTCACACTGCAGGCTGTCCTGGGCACCTGTGACTGGCACAGAGTGGAAGCTAAAGTAGTTGCTCTCCATGAGGGTGTTTACACCTCCCACCTCTGTTCAAAAGATCAATGACGTGTGACTGGGGTTTTAATGAATCCCCTTTCCACATTCCCAGGGGATAGACGGGCTAGTCAGTCAATTCTTCATCCTGTGCATTGGGCAACAGCTGAAGGTTGACGTGCTATGCCTGCAAAACATTGATTTTCTTTTGAGACTTCTAATCTAGACTTGCCATCTATGATACTGTCTAGCCTGCCCACTCTTTTATATATATATATATATATATATATATTTTAGATTTATGCAACCATTTCACAAGTTCTATATGTTTAAGGTCCACTGTATTTTCAGCATAGTGCCTAGATTATAGTAAATTCTCAATAAATATTTTCTGAAGGAATGAATAAGGGACTCACTATATTTATTTATTTATTTCTTCTTTTTTTTTTTTTTTTGACAGGCAGAGTGGACAGCGAGAGAGAGAGACAGAGAGAAAGGTCTTCCTTTGCTGTTGGTTCACCCTCCAATGGCTGCCGCAGCTGGCGCACTGCGGTTGGCACACCGCACTGATCTGAAGGCAGGAGCCAGGTGCTTCTCCTGGTCTCCCATGGGGTGCAGGGCACAAGGACTTGGGCCATCCTCCACTGCACTCCCTGGCCACAGCAGAGAGCTGGCCTGGAAGAGGGGCAACCGGGACAGAATCCGGCGCCCCGACCGGGACTAGAACCCAGTGTGCCAGCGCCGCAAGGTGGAGGATTAGCCTAGTGAGCTGCGGCGCCGGCCACTATATTTCTTTCTAGAGTATTCATTTCATCTTTGGTGCTGAGTCCCTGCCCTCATAAAGCTTACATTCTGATGGTGTTAGCTGGGCAGACAATAATCAAATGAGTACATACAAAGGGTATCAGATGCTGATAAGTTGCACAAAGAAACAGAAGGCAGTAAGGACTGTACTGAGTATTGCAGGCACAGCATACATGTACGGAGAGGACTGCATTTAGCACACCTTGAAGGAACAAGGAAGCCTACGTGTTTGGGGAAGAATGAGAATTAGGAAGTGAGGTCAGAGATGTGCTTGAGTGGGGATTAGCCAGACCATGCAGGGTCTAGGCCATTTTCATAAAAAGACTTTGGCTTGTCCTCTATCACAGTGAAGTCCAGGGTAGTGCCTATGCAAGGGCAATAACAGAACTGAAGGAAAAGGAGTTAAGAGGCTCTTGGCAAATGTTAAGAATTTTGATCCAGTTATTTTTACAATACTATGAACTGTAAAGATATTTATTAAATGGCAGAAATGGGCAATGATACCACATACATGATTTCCTTTTTTAATAGTGAAGTATGTTTCAATTCAGTTTCAGAATTTTACAGTGATAGGATAATGGCAAATACGACAAGTAGAAAAGCCAGTGAAGTACTGGCATGAGGAACACCATGCAGACCAATGGAATAGAACAGACAGCATTATATAAGCCCTCACATTTGGTTAATTGATTTTCAACAAGCATGCCAAGACCATTCAGTGCAGATAGGACAGGCTTTCCACAAATGCTGGGAAACTGTATATCCATATAACAAAGCATGAAGTTGGATCCTCAAAATAGATGACAGACTTGAATGCAAGAACTAAAAGTATAAGATCATAAATTATATGAGCACAGACAACAAGAGAAAATATAGACGATCAAAATTAAAAACTGCTGTGCATCAAAGAACACTTTCAAAAAAGTGAAAAGATAACCCACAAAATGGGAGAAATATTTGCAAATTTTTTATAAAGGCCTAATATCCAGAATATATAAAGAACTCTTACTCAACAACAACAAAAATCTCCATAACCTAATTCAAAAGTGGGCAAAAGATTTGAGCAGACAGTTCCCCAAAGATATGCAAATGGTCAGTAAACACTTGAGGGACCAGCATTGTGGTCCAGCAAGTTAAGACACCACTTGTGAGGCTGGCATACCATGTCAGGGTGCCAGTTCCTGTTCCAGCTCATCTACTTCTGATCTACTTTCCTGCTAATGTGCCTTGGAAGAGAGCAGATGGTGGCTCCATGCTTGGGACCCTGAAATTCATGTGAGACCTGGATGTGGTTCCTGGCTCCTACTTTAGCCTGGCCCAACCCTGGCTATTGAGGAGTGAATCAGGAGATGGAAGATTTTTCTCCATCTCCCCCCACCTCTCTCTCTCTCTCTCTCTCTCTCTCTCTCTCTCTCTCTCTGTTGTTCTTGCCATTCACAAAAATAAATCTTTAAAAAAAAAAAGCACCTGAAAAGAAGTTCAACATCATCAGAGGACAGTGAAAATCAAAACCAAAAGAAATACTGTTTCATATCTACTAGAATGTCCATGAGTAAAACAAATGGCACAGAAAATAAGTGTGGACAAAGAAATTTAAACACTGGGAAACTGCCAGTAGGAATGTAAAATGGTACAGCTACTGTGGAAAACAGTTTGACGGTTCTGGAAAATGTTAGACGTAATTACCATATGATCCAGCAATTTCAATCCCAACTACATACCCCAAAGAAGTGAACATAGGAACCTAGACTGTATACCAATGTTCATAGCAGCATTATTCACAATAACTGAAAGTTGGAGATAATTCAAATGCCCATCAACAAGTGAATGGTATATGCACATAATGAACTATTTTTAGCAACAGCAAGGAATTAAATTCTGGAACATGTTATAGCATGGATGAACTTTGAAAACATTAGCCTAAGTGAAATAAATGACACAAAAACCAAATATTTTATGATTCCACTTATAAGTGATATGTAGAGTAGCCAAATTTATAGAGATGGGAAGTAGGATGACGGTTACCAGAGGCTGGAGGAAGAGGCAATGAGGAGTTAGTGTTTAATGGGTACAGAGTTTCTGCTAGGATGATGAAAAAGTCCTGGAAATGGATAGTAGTGATAGTTGCACAACATTGTGTATGTCTTAATGCCTCTGAATTGTGCACTTAAAAGTGATTCAAATGGTAAATTTTGTTACAGATGTGTTACCACAATTAAAAAAAAAAAAAAAAACAAGAAAAGGAAGGAGTGGAGGAGAAAGCATGTGGAAATTGTGTTTGTGCCTCACCCTCTCAGAGTAGAAGAAAACTAATGTAATCACTTAGTGAGCAAGTTAGACTCAGTATAGTGCAAGCAAAAAGTAAGTTTGCTTTCTCCCACTACTCATTTCAGATGTCTTTTTCCTATTTGCTCTTTCCAGTCCTTTGATTAAACTTTGACAAGTCCCAAAGCTTTTCTGATCACTATCAGTTAAGTTCAGAATGTTGTCATATGAAATGTTAAAACCCATGTAAAACTCATTTGTCCACCCTCCAAAATAGGATCTGCTTCAGGCCTAGAGAATTTCTGTGGGATGCAAGTGGGGAAGACAAGTTACTTCTCCCATTTCCTTGATCCACTACTTGCTAATGCTGCTATTGCTCCTCCAGGTTTGCAAGGGAAAATCCTTCCCTGACTGGTAAAGTTGTCCTCTGATGTTTGTGCTTTCTGATTGTATTGAATTTTAAATGTTGTTTGTCTCTTTTATGGTGATTTGTACATTCTTTAGAAAACCTGTGTTCCCTGGAACCTTTCTCCCATGCCTCCCTTGATAGGGTTAATGACTTCATCAACTGGCTCCTTGGGGCTCCCTTTCAGCCCCTGCTTAGGGTTGCTAACAACAGGAGCAACCTTCTTCCATCCAAGTATTAACCAGGGCCGACCCTGCTAACAAGATCAGATGAGATCAGGGGAATTTAGGGGGGTATGGCCATAGACAGAGGATGTCTTCTCAGCAGGACCCTTCCCAGAATGATGCAGTATGTCTCTTCTACACAGTCCAGTATGTGACCCACTAGAAATTCCTTGCTCCACCAAATTCAGCAAGTGGTCTTCTGTAGACAGCTGGCCAGCCTCATTCTCTCCCCCTCAGTGTCCTTCATGGTTCCTCTACTACTCTGAAAACTCTAAGGAAGAACGAACCAGGGTCTTCCCAAGTACCTGATGAATTCCTTGCCTTCTCTTAAGCAGTTTGGAGGTGAGGATAGGCCAAACTATGCAGAGCAGGCTTCCAGTTCCTCCTGTGAGTGCTACCCAGCACTGCCCTTTAAGGTAAGGGAATTTTTCAAGTCGTATTGTAGGGCCACTCCCAAAGCAGAAAGAGGGTCATTGTAATAACAAAAGTCTCCAAAAAGTCCACAGAAAAATGCATATTCTGGAAAAACTATGCATGGATTTCATTTTTTTGCAAAGGAAGTTTATTATTTAATTCTGTTTTTTTCCATAAACTTTTTGAAGTATCTTCGTATCCTTCTACATTGGAGCAGAAAGTCATTATCATTTCTATGTTTCAAGAAAGTCCTTTGCAAAGCTTGAGGGAAGACAGAATACAGGTGGGTATTATCTGACATTCTTGTTTGGAATAATTGGTAACCCTTAGCCTTCTGTGTCCTCCATGTGTCAGTGGGGAGGGAATATCAACCTTTACTCAATCAAGTAATCTTCTTTCTAGGACTAGGATGACATCCTTCCCTGGCCTCTCCACCCTTGGTCCCTGGTGACAAGCAGAAGAGCCCTTCCAGAAAATCCTTCCAAACATAGCTGCACCTTTTCTTGCCTTAGGAAATGTAATTCGGTGAATGTAATTGAACTGAAAAGAGAAAAGACAGTCTAACATGCCTTCATGTTCCGAATGGCAATTCTTCTTGTGCAGACAACACAAGGTGGGTGAGTTGTAGGGATCAGCTTAATGTGTAAACAGTATACTTGTCCATACTTCCTCTCCCTGCCACTCTCCCTCAAATACATACATTTGTTTTGAAAGTGAAATATCACTTGTACCTTGCTATTAAAAATACAGTTTAGGTGACCAAAGGGTTTGGATTTTCAGTTGCTTAAAGGAAGTAGTTAGTGAATTTATGGCTAATTTAAATATATATATATATATATATATATAATATATAATGAGGCCCATTGTGGTACAGCTGGTTAAGCCACTGTTTGTTATACTGGCATCACATAACAGATGATCTCATGAACCAGGCTCAAGTCCCAGATGATCCACTATCTGGTATAGCTCCTTGCTATTGTGCCTAGGAAAGCAGCAGAAGATGGCCAAGCACTTGGGTTACTGACATCCATGTGGAACACCAGGATGAAATTCCTGGTTTCAGCCTGGCCCAGCTCTTGCCATTGTAGCCATTTGGGTAGTGTGGTAGTGTGTGTCTCTCTCTCCCCCTCTCATGTCTCCCTCTGTCACTCTTTCAAAAATCACATTTATATCTCATATAGATATATGTATATATGTATATATCTATCTCTGTCTCTACCAACACACACGATAGTGATAGTTTGGTACACTGGGGACAAACAGAACATCTATGTTTCCTGAGGGAAGGGAAATAAAAAAAAAATTTTAATGAGGGATCAGGGGTTAGCATAGCTTATTGTCAGATACAAAAACTAATCAAATAAAATCCTTGTAACACCAAGACTAGAAGCAAACGGACAATAAGAAATCTTAAAGATATTGAAGGAAAACATTTTCCAAACTGCGATTCTACTCAATCAAATATTGAACAAATACAGAAAAAGAACAGGATATTTTCAGACATGCAACCATCAAAAATTTATTTCCCAGGCACTATTTCTGGATGTGAACCACCAAAATTAGGGAATGGACCATGGAAAAAAAGGTCATAGCATATAGTCTTGAAGTGAAAGGAATTCCAAAATGAAGGCAAAGGGAGATGGTTTCAGTCAAGACTGTATGAATATGACTCAAGACAGACATTTGGATGAATGTTGTTACCAAGATGCCTTCTGCTCACATATCTTTTTATCTTAAAAAATGCCTGAGTGAGGCTGGCCCAGATTTTTAGCAGGACTTTGTCATCCAAGGCCATATATTTTTGAAGCTCTCACTCATCTCTCCATGCCGTGCCACCTGCATCAGCTGAGAATATGCATTTTACTCCAGAGGAATTTTTTATTGACTTATCCTTAGAATTTGAGTTGGCCATGTTAGACTCAAAAACAGAAGATACATGGTAACATACTGGCCCAACAGGATTTTTACCTGGTGACCGGTAGCTGACTTACATGATGAACTAGCTGAGGACCCAACCATGAGCCTTGTGTTATAGTCTAGCCTGCTGACATCCACATATGGGCTTGCATACTATTCATTGCCAAACTAGCTCAGAGAAACCATGCTACCTATTTCTTCCTAGAGTCTTCCTCTAACAGCCAGTGTGTTTCCTTGTCACCATGCACAACCATTTATATGTAAAAAGTAATTAACAGAAATAAAATATTTGAGAAAAATGGTGGAAAAGATGAAAAAAATTATTCTTATGAGGTATATTAGAAACATAAGGACAAGTTTATTAAAATTCAAATAATGTGCATGATTCTACTGAAACTGCAAAATTATCAAAATATGTAACCTGAGTTTAGAAGGCAATTTTCTGAAATTAATATTTATTAAAGTTTTATTTATTTTTATTTGAAGGGCAGAGTTACAAAGAGGCAGAGGCAGAGAGAGAGAGAAAGAGACAGAGAGAGAGAAGTCAGTCTTCCATCCACTGGTTCACTCCCCAAATGGCCACAATGGCCAGAGCTGGGCCAATCTAGAGCCAGGAGCCAGGAGTTCTTCCAGGTCTCCCATGTGGGTGCAGGGGCCCAAGTCTTTGGGCCATCTTACTACTGCTTTCCCAGACCACAGCAGAGAGCTAGATCAGAAGTGGAGCGCTGGGACTCAAACCAGTTCCCATATGGGATGTCAGCACTGCAGGTGGTGGCTTTACCTGCTACACCACAGTATCAGCCCCAAAATTAATATTTTTAAGACTTTGAGAACACAGGTAATTTCCTTTGTTCTTTAAATTTGCAGCCATTGGGGGGCAGTGCTGTGCATTAAACCACAGCTTGTGACACCAACATCCCATATCAGAGCATCAGTTCAAATTCCAGCCAATCTGCTTTTGACCCAGCCATCCTGCTAGTGTGCTTCAGAAGGCAGCAGGAGATGGCCCAATTGCCTGGGCCCGTGGCATCCATTTGGGAGCCCAGGATAGAGTTCCTTGATTCCTGGCTTTAGTCTGTTGCAGACCTGACTTTTTGTGGCCATTTGGGGAGTGAACCAGGGAATAGAGGATCTCTCTCTCTCTCTCTCTCTTTCAAGTAAATAAATCTTTTAAGATTTTTGTGGATGTATAAGTTTTGCAATTGAGCAAATATAAGTACAAATGCATTTTATAGCTTTATAAATGGCAATAATAGCTACGAATTACTCCAGAATGAATTTTTAAGATGTTTCCAAAAGCTGTTATGATAACATGTGCTTATACCTACCCCCCCATTCTCTTTTTCTCTCTTTAAATGCTTATTTATTTATGTCTACTTGAAAGGCAGGACAAGAAAGAGAGAGAAAGGGATGGCGAGAGACCTGGTTCACTCCTGAAATGCCCTCAACAAGCAGGGCTGGGTCAAGCCAAAGCCAGGAGCCAGGAACTCTATCTGGGTCTCCTTGTGGGTGGCAGGGACCCAAGCACTTGAGACATTGCCTGTGACAACCCAGGATGCGTTTTCAGGAAGTTGAATTGGAAGCAGCAAAGCCAGGACTCTAACTGGCACTCCAAAATGGGATATAGGCATCCTAAGCAGAGGCTTAACCAGTGTAACTCAATGCCTACCTCCTCTTTCCCTTTCTTTACCTCACCATTCCACCAATAGCTTTCCTCAATGAAGTTAGTGTTCAATAAAAATTTGTAGAATGGGTGAGTGAACAAAAGAATGCATGCATTAGAATTGGGAACGGTGGTCTTTCAGATGTCCACATCGGTTTGGGTTCCCGCTCAGGTGTTTTCCTGTTGATGTGAAGGAATTCACTTTTCCTGAGCCCCCCACAACATACACAGTTTTATGTTCTTTCTTCAGAATGTTTGCAACCTTTGGATATATTAGTTGCTTTTTCATTTGTTTGTCTTCTCCATTAAGATTATAAGTTCAGATATCAATGCACAGTACTTTGTAATGATTCAAAGGAAAAAGAGAAGGAAAAAATGGGGTTAGGAGATTTTCTGTCTATAAAATGTTAAATGGGAAGTTGCTTTCTTACTCCACAGCTTGCCAGAGGTAGGTGTAAAGGAGACAGTACTGGGATGGGAGGTGCCCACTTGCCATCTACTTCACCTCTCCATGCCAGGCCTTACAGGATGTTTTAAAAGATGGACTACCATGGAGTAGAAATTTTATCTGGGCTCGCATTGTGGCACAATGGGTTAAGCCACTGCTTGTGATACCAGCAACCCATATAAGTAGCTGGTTTGGATCCTGGCTGTTCCACTTCCAAACCAATTCTCTGCTAGTGTGCCAGGCAAGGCAGTGGTAGATGGCCCAAGTGCTTGAGACCCTGCCACCCACATAAGAGACCTAGATGGAATGCCTGGCTCCTGGCTTTGACCTGGTCCATCCCCCATCATTGTGGTCATTTGGGGAATGAACCAGCACAAGGAAGATCTTTCTCATTCCTTTTCTCTAACTCTGCCTTTCAAAAAAACCTTTTTATTAAAAAGGAAACTTTATCCAACTAACCTAAACCACAAGAAGTTAACTTACTGTTAATAAAGCCCAACAGAAGTTGAAGATTGGAAAAGCCAAGTCAACAGCAATTGGACTAAATGGGACCAGAGATTGCAATTAGAGAGATACAGAAAGACTTCTTGTTCAGCCAACACCTTCAATTGCAAAACTTTCCTTATAGTCAGGAACTACTCCTTCTTTATCCTTTGCTCCATTATTTTAACTGAAGGACAATGCATAAAGAGCATTTGTATTCTCTATGACCTTTAAAAAATGTCTTCATTTATGCTTGAAATGACAGGTGCTGAAAAACATTTTTTTAAAGATTTATTTATTTCTTTGAAAGTCAGAGTTACACACACACACACACACAGAGAGAGAGAGAGAGAGAGAGAAAGAAAGAAAGAAAGAAAGAAAGAAAGAAAGAAAGGTCTTCCATCTGTTGGTTCACTCCCCAATTGGCCACAACAGCCAGAGCTGTGCCAATCCAAAGCCAGGAGCCAGGATCTTCTTCCAGGTCTCCCACATGGGTGCAGGGGCCCAAGGACTTGGGCCATCTTCTACTGCTTTCCCAGGGCATAGCAGAGAGCTGAATTGGAAGTGGAGCAGCCAGGTCTTGAACTGGCACCCACGTGGGATGCCAGCACTTCAGGCCAGGGCGTTAACCTGCTGTGCCACAGCGCCAGCCCCAAACATGTTCATTTTTGGAAGTTAGTTTGCACATCCAGTACAGCTATAAGAACAGGTATGAGCTCTACTCTGTAGAATCCTGAGGGGCAAAAACGCTTGAGGTGAGAAAAGATATGGGAGAGAGAAAGTAGTGCTCAGTTTCCCATCTTGGTCTTTATTCACCCCTCACCTTTGTTAAGAAATGCGCATACAAGCAATCTGTGGGGAAACCTCAGTCTTCTTGTGAACAAAAGTCAGCTGTTACCGAGCCATTATGATGCAACGAGGACCACTAGGATTCTTCCTGCTGTGTCTGCCTTTATGACATGTGTTGGAACCAAGTCCCTTTTAACATTCTGGTGGCCAAAACTAAGACAGCCTGGAGGCAATGTAACAACTGGAAGGTTTTCCATGTTGGCAAATTTGCAGTGCTTTGTGCAGAAATAAGATTCCCTTTATCTCAATGGAT